TGGGTGGATTTTGGCTGGGTTTTGGCGGGTTTGGATAGATTCTGGCTGAGTTTGGTTGGGTTTGGGTGGATTTTGGCTGGGTTTTGGCGGGTTTGGATAGATTCTGGCTGAGTTTGGTTGGGTTTGGGTGGATTTTGGCTGGGTTTGGATAGATTTTGGTGGATTTGGATGATTTTTGGATGGGTTTCAGTGAATTTTGGCTGGGTTTGGATGAATTTGGACAGATTTTGGCTGGGTTTGGGTGAGTTTGGGTGAATTTTGGGCGGGTTTGAGTGGATTTGGATAGATTTTGGATGGGTTTGGGTGGATTTGGATGGATTTTGTCTGGGTTTGGGTGGGTTTGGGCGGATTTTGTCTGGGTTTGGGTGGATTTTGTCTGGGTTTGGGTAGATTTTGGCTGGTTTTGGGTGGGTTTAGACAGATTTTGTCTGGGTTTGGATGGGTTTGGGTGGATTTTGGCTGGTTTTGGGTGGGTTTAGGTGGATTTTGGCTGGTTTTGGGTGGGTTTAGGTGGATTTTGGCTGGGTTTGGATGGGTTTAGACAGATTTTGTCTGGGTTTGGATGGGTTTGTGTGGATTTTGTCTGGGTTTGGGTGGGTTTAGGTGGATTTTGGCTGGTTTTGGGTGGGTTTAGACAGATTTTGGCCGGGTTTGGATGGGTTTGGGTAGGTTTTGACTGGGTTTGGGTAGGTTTTGGCTGGGTTTGGGTAGGTTTTGGCTGGGTTTGGATAGATTCTGACTGGGTTTGGATAGATTCTGACTGGGTTTAAAGGCATTTCGAGGTGTTTCACCCACTCTTGAGGAAGGCAGCCAGGTCGTAGAGCGCGCGATCCTCGGAGCCGCCGTCCCAGCGCGGCAGCGCCAGCCCGTTGTACGGCTGCAGCCGGAACGAGTCCCGGCGCCAATCCACCACCACCACCCGCGCCGGGTCCCGGTTCAGGCACGAGATATCCTGCAGGACCCCCAAATTCGGGATTGTGACCCCAGAATGGGGGGTCTGGGTTTGGTTTGGAGAGATTTTGGATGGGTTTGGGTGGGTTTTGGCTGGGTTTGGGTGGGTTTGGAGAGATTTTGGATGGGTTTGGGTGGATTTTGGTGAATTTTGGTGAATTTTGGCCGGGTTTGGGTGGGTTTGGAGAGATTTTGGATGGGTTTGGGCGGATTTTGGTGAATTTTGGCTGGGTTTGGATAGATTTTGGATGGGTTTGGGCGGATTTTGGTGAATTTTGGCTGGGTTTGGATAGATTTTGGATGGGTTTGGGCGGATTTTGGTGAATTTTGGCTGGGTTTGGATAGATTTTGGATGGGTTTGGGCGGATTTTGGTGAATTTTGGCTGGGTTTGGATAGATTTTGGATGGGTTTGGGCGGATTTTGGTGAATTTTGGCTGGGTTTGGATAGATTTTGGATGGGTTTGGGCGGATTTTGGTGAATTTTGGCTGGGTTTGGGTGGGTTTGGAGATTTTGGCTGGGTTTGGGTGGGTTTTAATGAATTTTGGCTGGGTTTGGATAGATTTTGGATGGGTTTGGGTGGGTTTGGAGAGATTTTGGCTGGGTTTGGGGGGGGTTTAATGAATTTTGGCTGGGTTTGGGGGGGGTTTAATGAATTTTGGCTGGGTTTGGGGGGGGTTTAATGAATTTTGGCTGGGTTTGGGGGGGGTTTAATGAATTTTGGCTGGGTTTGGGGGGGGTTTAATGAATTTTGGCTGGGTTTGGGGGGGGTTTAATGAATTTTGGCTGGGTTTGGGGGGGGTTTAATGAATTTTGGCTGGGTTTGGGGGGGGTTTAATGAATTTTGGCTGGGTTTGGGGGGGGTTTAATGAATTTTGGCTGGGTTTGGGGGGGGTTTAATGAATTTTGGCTGGGTTTGGGGGGGGTTTAATGAATTTTGGCTGGGTTTGGGTGAGTTTGGATAGATTTTAGTAGATTTTGGATGGGTTTTAGTGGATTTGGATGAATTTTGGCCAGGGTTTGGGTGGGTTTGGAGAGATTTTGGCTGGGTTTGGGTGGATTTTGGTGAATTTCGGCTGGGTTTGGGTGGGTTTGGAGAGATTTTGGCTGGGTTTGGGTGGATTTTGGTGAATTTTGGCTGGGTTTGGGTGGGTTTGGGGAGATTTTGTCTGGGTTTGGGTGAGTTTGGATAGATTTTAGTAGATTTTGGATGGGTTTTAGTGGATTTGGATGAATTTTGGCCAGGGTTTGGGTGGGTTTGGAGAGATTTTGGCTGGGTTTGGGTGGATTTTGGTGAATTTTGGCTGGGTTTGGGTGGGTTTGGAGAGATTTTGTCTGGGTTTGGGTGAGTTTGGATAGATTTTAGTAGATTTTGGATGGGTTTTAGTGGATTTGGATGAATTTTGGCCAGGGTTTGGGTGGGTTTGGAGAGATTTTGGCTGGGTTTGGGTGGATTTTGGTGAATTTCGGCTGGGTTTGGGTGGGTTTGGAGAGATTTTGGATGGGTTTGGGTGGATTTTGGCTCAGTTTGGATAGATTTTAGTAAATTTTGGATGGGTTTGGGTGGACTTGGGTGAATTTTGTCTGGATTTGGATGGATTTTGGCTGGGTTTGGGTGGGTTTTGGTGAGTTTTGTCTGGGTTTAGGTGGGTTTTGGTGGATTTGGATGAATTTTGGATGGGTTTGGACGGGTTTGGATAGATTTTGTCTGGGTTTGGGTGGCTTTGGGTAGATTTTGGATGGGTTTTGGTGAATTTTGGCTGGGTTTAGATAGATTTTGGACGGGTTTGGATAGGTTTTGTCTGGGTTTGTCTGGGTTTGGGTGGCTTTGGGTAGATTTTGGATGGGTTTTGGTGAATTTTGGCTGGGTTTAGATAGATTTTGGACGGGTTTGGATAGGTTTTGTCTGGGTTTGTCTGGGTTTGGGTGGCTTTGGGTAGATTTTGGATGGGTTTTGGTGAATTTTGGCTGGGTTTGGCTGGGTTTGGATAGATTTTGGATGGGTTTGGATAGGTTTTATCTGGGTTTGGATGGGTTTGGGTGGCTGGGGAGCCCCTCACCTTGACATGGTGGCCGTCCATGTAGCGCGTGGCGTCGCGGAACAGCCGGTACGACACGAAGCCGTGGGGGTCAATGCTGTCGATCAGCGGGAACGCCGTCTGGGGGGGGAGAGGGGGGGATTTGGGGCTTTTTCAGGGGGTTTTGGGGCACCCTGAGACCCCTCCCCAACAAATCCCCATCCCTTCTGGCAGTCTCACCTGAAATCCCCCCAAAAAACCCTGAAATCTTCTTCAATCCCTCCCAAAAAAACCCCAAAACCCCCCAAAAAATCCCCCAAAAATCTCCAGGAGACCCTGAGACCCCTCCCCAACAAATCCTGGGCACCCCAAGACCCCTCCCCAATAAATCTCCATCCCTTCTGGCAGTCTCACCTGAAATCCCCCCAAAAAACCCTGAAATCTTCTTCAATCCCTCCCAAAAAAACCCCAAAACCCCCCAAAAAATCCCCCAAAAATCTCCAGGAGACCCCGAGACCCCCCAAAACTCCCCCAAAACCTCAAATCCCCCCGAACTCCGCCCTCACCATCCCGGTCTCAGAGGTGAAGATGACGATTTCGTAGAGCGGCGCCAGCTGCTGCAGGAGGTGCTCGATGCCCGGGCGCTTCTTGAACCTCCAGCCCGTCACCAGCTGCGTTTTGGGGTAAATTCGGGGGTTTTTGGGGGGTTTGGGAATACTGGAATTGAGTCTGGGGGCTCTTGAAGGGGTTTCTGGGGGATTTTTCTGGTTTTGGGGTTTGTCGTGGTGGGGAAATGGGGGAAAGGAAGTAAAATCGGAGGGGTTTTGAGAGGTTTGATGGTTGAGAAATAGAGCAAACCTCCCAAAATTCACCCCAAACTCACCCCAAACCCCCAAAACTCACCCCAAATCCAACCCAAACCCCCCAAACTCATCCCAAACTCACCCCAGACCCCCCAAAACTCACCCCAAACCCCCAAAATTCATCCCCAAACCCTCCAAAACCCCCAAAACTCACCCCAAACTCACCCCAAACCCCCAAAACTCACCCCAAACCCCCAAAACTCACCCCAAACTCACCCCAAACTCA